GGAATATGTACTGTATTTAATGCTGTTTACTATTTACTACAGGAAGGTCTCTTATGGTCCTTTGGCAGTTTAAAGTAGGGGAAGCCTCAGACATGCCAGATAACACATCTTAGTATTAAGTAACCTCATTAGAAACCTGTGCTAAACACAGTAAAAGCATTAGGAGAGATGAGAAGCAGTTAGGAAAGGTAATTTGAGGGTGTCCTTGGAAGAGAGGGACTATTATAGGTGGGGAGTTTCCATTAAAACAGGTTTAGCCTCATTGAGGCCATACTCTTTAAGTGAAATAGGACACACGTGTAAATACCAATTAGTTTCCCTGGTGTGAGAAATTGAAAGTGTAGATGAGGATCAAAATGTGTAATTATGTGAAATAGGAAGAAAAGGTCCCAAGGGGAAGGGGAAGTGGAGGGGTAGGAAAAGGAAAGAAGGGAAAGGAAAAAATAATGAGAAAAGGAAAAAATGGAAACAAAGACTTTGTAAATAGGGAGGGGTGGAGGGGTTGAAGGGAGGGCAGGGAATGGAGAAAAAATAACTAAGGTACACATTTCCAATGATGAGTGACATTACATACCTAAAATGTACCAATAAACTTAATGAAAAAAAAACCCCCAAAAAAGATTTAGCTTCTGGTCTTCCATCTGCATGTTACTGTGGGATCCATAGTAAATGATAATTTCTTCTAGCTTTTTTTGGTACTGAGAATCGAACTCAGGACCTTGTGCATGCCAGGCAGACACTTTGCCGCTGAGCTTCATCCTGACCCTTTTTTCTTATTTTTGAGACAGGATTACACTAGGTAGCCCAGGCTTGCCTCAAATTTTCAGTGATCTCCTTCCTTAGCCCCCAGTGTGCTGGAATTACAGGCCTGTACCACCATGCCCCACTAGAGCCATGATTTACATATCTCTAAAATAAGAGATCCAAGAGATGACATCAAAACGTTGATAGGAGCTGGGCATGGTGGCACAGGCCTGTAATCCTAGCACGCTGGGAAGCTGAGGAAGGAGGAGCAGAAGTTTGAGCCCAGTGTAGGCAGTTTAGCAATCTAGTCAGACCCTGTCTAAAAATGAAGAAGGGCTGGGGATGTAGCTCATTGCAGAGACCCAGGATTCAGTCCTCAGAACCTCAAAAAATAAAATGTTCTTATGGTGCTAGGGGATATAGTGGTGAGATGCTAGCCTACCTTATTTGAGGCCTTGGTTTGATCCCCACCACCTCAACACACACAAAAAATTCTTAGGGTGATACTACCTAGCTTATAGGGTTCTTTTCTTTACAGATTTCCTAGAAGTATCCTTCATATCCTTATATTATCAGGATCAGCAAATTTTGAGTTCCATAAATTGAGTCCATTGATGATGCTTTTGCTTTTTGTTTTTTTGGAGACATGGTCTTGCTTTGTAGTGTCTTGAACTCACTATCTAGCCCAGGTTGGCCTCAGTCCTCCTGCTTCAGCCTCCCTGTGCTGGGATTTCAGGCCTGTACCACCATGTCCGGCATTGGTGGTGCTTTAGAAGGTGTGTTTCACTGCCCCTTTGTGATTCTTGGGGAATCATGGTAGGCTTATAGCTGCTGTCTGGAGTTTATTATTATTATTATTATTATTATTATTATTATTATTTTTGGAGTTTATTATTATAAAAAATGTGTTGTACACATAAATTTATTCTAGGTTAAACAGTTTGTTTGTTTGTTTTGTTTTGTTTTGTTTGGTACCGGGGATCAAACTCGGGTCCTTGCACTTGCAAGGCAGGCGGTGAAACCACTGAACTAAATCTCTGGCCCTTTTTTGTTTGTTTTTAAGTCAGGGTCTTACTGTGTAGTTCAGGCTGCCCTTGATTCACTACATAGCCAAGGCTGGCCTCAAACTCTCGGTGATTCCCCTACCTCCAGAGTGCTGGGAGTATAGGCTTGTGCCACTATACCTAGCTGCTTTTTTTTTTTTTGGTACTGGGGATCGAACTCAGGACCTTGTGCTTTCGAGGCAGGTGCCAGAACCACTGAGCTAAATCCCTAGCCCAGGAATAATAGTTTTTTTAAAAAGTGAATAAATAAAGATTATACCCTGGTAATTTCAGTAAAACATACAGAGGGTATGAACTGTTAATTGTTTCTGATATGAAACTGTAAAGCTTTTATTTTGAAAAAGTTAATTCATTTATAAAATAGAGAAGTTAGATGGTATTGTAATTTTATTCCTTTTTTCGTTCTCTCTTTCTCTCTTTGTTTCTTTGTTTCTTGGTATTGGATATTGAATCCAAGACTTCTACACTGAGCTATATTTCCAGTCCTTTTTAAATTTTTAGTTCTGAGATAGGCTCTCTCTCAGTCCCATAGATTAACCAAGCTGGGTTCAAACTTACATCTTCTTGCCTCAGCCCCTAGAATGCTGGGGTTATAGGTGTGTGCCATCATGCCTGACTTAAAATATTTATTTTATTTTATTCTATTTTTTTGATACTGGGGATCGAACTCAGGACCTTGCGCTTGCAAGGCAGGCGCGGTGCCACTGAGGTATATCCCCAGCCCTAAAAATTTTTTTAAATTGTGTAAAGTACATATAAAATTTACCACCTTAACCATTTCTAAATGTGTAGTTCAGTAGTGTTAAGCGCATTTATGGTGTTGTACAACCAATCTTTAGAACTTCTTTTCACCCCTGGTAGTGGGGATTGAGCCCTGGCCCTTTGCACTGGGCTACATCCCCAATCCCTCCCCTTCAAAAAGAATTGAAAAAAAAAGGTTTTTTGAGATAGAGTGTCCGTAAATCAATCCTCCTGTCTCAGTCTATCAGAGTGCTGGTATTATAGGTATGTGCTACTACACCGAAGTCCAGAACTTTTTCATGCCCATTAAATGACTAAATTTTCTCCCCTAGCCCTTGGCAGCTATCATATATTTTGTTTCTATTAGCTTGACTGCTCTAGATACTTCACATAAGTGGAATCTTAAAGTATTTGTCTTTTTGTGACTGGCTTATTTCACTTGTCATAATGTACCCAAGCTTCATCTATGTTGTAACATGTGTTAGAATTTTCTTATATGTTAAAGAATATACCACATTTTATTTACCCATTCATCTGTTTATGAACACTTGGGATGCTTCCACCTTTTGGCTGTTGTGAGTCATGTTGCTGTGAACATACATATTGGTGTATAAATATTTCTTTAAGACTTAGCTTTCAGTTCCTTTGGAGATACATCTTAGAGGGGAAATTGCTGGCTCATTTGGTAATTTTTTAGTACTGGGGATTGAACTCGGGACCTTGCGCTTTCGAGGCAGGCAGCGGAACCACTGAGCTAAATCCCCGGCTGTTTTTAATTTTTATTTTTTAGGAACTACTCCAAAGCAGTGGCACCACTCTACATTTCCACCAGCACAATATAGTACATGAGTACAGTTTCTCCCCCGTCCTTATCAAGGCTTAGTTTTTGTGTTTGATATTAGCAGTTTTAATAGGTGTAAGGTGATGTCTTGTGATTTTTTATTTTGTTTTGTTTTGGGGTTTTTTGGTACCAGGGATTGAACTCGGGTCCTTGCGCTTGCGCAGCAGGCAGCAAAACTGCTGAGCTAAATCCCCGGCCCAGTTTTGTGATTTTGATTTTAATTTCCTTAACCGTTAGTGATGTGGAGCATCTTTAAATATGCATACTAACCAGCTGTTTCTTTTGCTTTTTGGTTCCAGGGATTGAACTTGGGACCTTGCACTTGCGAGGCAGGTGCCAGAACCACTGAGCTAAATCCCGGTCCCTCTTTTGGTTTTTTGAGACAGGGTCTCACTTGATAGTTCGAGGCTGGCCCTGAACTCACTAGCCCAGGCTGGCCGGGAACTTGCAGTGATCCTCCTTCCTCAGTCTCCTGAGTGCTGGGATTACAGGCGTGCACCACCACACCCAGCTGTTTCTTTGTTAAATATCTTTGCACATGTAAAACACTCATTCTATCGATCTCTTTTGCCAGTCTCTTTGTTAGTGGTTCTCTTCCTATTTGACATACTCATTCTCTTAAGATTTTTTTTTTTTGGTACTGGGGATCGAACTTGGGTCTTTGTGCTTGTGAGGCAGGCAGCAGAACCACTGAGCTAAATCCTAGGCTGTACATACTCATTCTCTTACAGTTTACTTATTTCCATTCTTAGCCTTCACATCCTGAAATTATCTAGATCAGGCATATCCAAACTTTTGGCTTGCCTGGCTGCACTGAGGAATTGTCTTGGTCCACATATAAAACATATAGTTTTGTTTATAATTAATAAAACTGCCTTTAAAAATAATTGTTGTTACAGCATTTTTAAGAAGAGGCAGACTGGACATGCCTGATCTAGATCTTTAGAACCTCCTTAGGCAGTTTTATTTGTTCAATTTTTAAAGAATAAATTATCTGTGTGAAATTGTGAAATCAGAAACTCTTCCTTAGAATGGAGAAAGGAGTACATGTGTCCATGGACAGGAAGACTAGTATTTTTGAGTGGGCTAAGATTTGAAAATTTACTAATAATATATGTACATATGTACCATTTATTAAATTTAAACATGTTTTTAGGTGTGTTAGAATTCAAAAAATTGCTGGGCATGGTACATATGCCTGTAATCCCAGTTACCTGGGCGGGTGGGAGGCTGAGGCAGGAGGATCACCAGTAAAATACAAGGCCAGACTGGGCAGTTTAGGAAGACTCTGTCTCAGTGTTTCAAAAAAAAAAAAAAGAAGGGGTGGGAATGTAGCTCAGTGTTCAGTTCACTAGTGCTACCAAAAAAATTTTGGTTTCAAAAAATAAAAGAATATGCAAAGAAAAGTCTCTTTTCTATCTACACCATACCTACCAGTTCCCTTCCTGGAGGCAACCAAACGATCAATTTATATTATTTTCAAGACAGGGTCTTGCTGTGTAATTTAGGCTGGCTTGAACTCACTGTGTATCCCAGGCTGCTATCAAACTCACTGCTATTCTCCTGCCTCAGCCTTCCAAGTGCTGGGATTACAGGAGTACACCACTACATCCTGCTAAAATGATCAGTTTTACATGGCTTTATAGTGTGTGATAAATATCCTGTAGCACCTTTCAACTGTTTATTTTTCTCTTCCAGTTGATTATGGAAGAGTCCCACAAGAATAACACTTCAGAGACTTCAACTCAACCTGCTTCAACAGTTCAGGGAGCTTATATTTCTCATATTGCTCAGCAGGTAAGACAAGGACTGGCCAAAATACTGAGCTCATTAGGAATATTTTATGTGCAGTTTAATCTGCTATTTCAGATCTCTTATTGCTGCTATTCAAAAAGAGAATCAAGGAAAAAATGAATTTAAAAATGTTGAGGTATAAAGAGGGAAGGTAGGTCTTTTTTTTCTTCTGCATTGCTTGGGATTGAACCCAGGGCCTTTGCACTGTGAGCTAGGCCTTATTTTTATTTTTATTTGTTTTTGAGACAAGGTCTCACTATGTAGTTCAGTCTGGCTTTGAACTCACAGTGCTCCTCCTGCCTCTGCTTCCCAAGTGCTGGGATTACACGGTCTCAGGCCTTTTTTTTTGAGGCAGGCTCGGTGCTGCTGAGCTAAATCCCTGGCCCAGGCCTTATTTTTATTTTGAGACAGGGTCTTGGTAAGTCACTAAGTTGCCCGGGGTCCTGAAATTTCCAATCCCGCTGCCTCAGCCTCCCAGAGTGTTGGAATTACAGGTGCACACCACCACACCTGGTTTGATTTAAATTTTTAAGACTATTTGGTTTTTCTTTTATTTTTGTTTTGTCTTGTTTTGTTTTGGTTTTGTGGTCCTAGGGATTGAACCTAGGGCCTCCGCTGCTCTAAGCAACACCCCCAGCCTTTTAAATTTATTTTTTGAGAGTCTTGCTAAGTTGTCCAGGCTGGCCTCAAATTTGGGATCTTCCTAATTCAGCCTCCTGAGTATCTAGAGTTACAGGTGTAACTCCAAGTTTTATTTTATATAAAGTATATTAAGAGTTTTTAAAAAAAAATACGGACTTCTCAAAACTCGATGTAGATTTTATTTTATGTGGTACACAATTATTTAGATTTTTTTTTCCAGACTCATTTTGTTTCAACATAGAGAAACAAGATAAATACTTGTGGGTTTTTAAAGAATCTAACTTGAAACAGATTAATGATTTCAGAAAGGTAACTATCTTTATTTGAACAGATTTATTATGAATATATTGGAAATGATTTTGCTGAACTGGAAAGTAGGCGTATTCCTTAGAGAATTTAACTAAATTGACAAGGACACATATTGCAGTGTGTAGATGCATTTTTAAATTCCAAACTGTGTGACCTGTCCACCTAACCCACTTCAAGGAAAATGACTGACAATATTTGTTGCCAGCGATAAGATTTGAATTTTCACATGAAAGTTAGAATTGTGGGCCTGGGTGTGGCGGTGCACTCCTGTCATCCCAGGACCGCGGAGGCTGAGGCAGGAGGACGGCTGTGAGTTGGAGGCCAGCCTGGGCTACATAGCAGGACCCTGCCTCAAAAAAAAAAAGAAGAAAATGAGAATTATGCAAAACATTTTCCCAATACTGACAGACTTTTGGTTACAAAATTGTCTTACAAAATTCTGCATGGGTGCAAGAGCCATTCACAGTGCAAGACAGCCCAGTAATTGGTTATGTTTTGCTTTGAGACAGGATCTTGCAGTGTAATATAGTCTGGTCTTAAAGTCTCTGTGTAGCCCAGGTTGGCTTTATGAGTGCCACTACAACTAGCACTGGACCAATAGATTTTCATATTAATAGAATACACATAGACCAGGTTGTACATGGGGCTAACCTTCAGGAGATTACAACTTGTTGAGTTTTGCTATTATCTCAGCAGCTATGCACAGTTACTGAAGAAGCTATTGAAACTCTTCCACCTTTGCTGACTACAGATTAGTAAGAGGTTAGGTTTTCTTCATATACCTCAACTAAAACAGCATATTTATTATAGCATCAGGAGAGGATTCTGCTGTTTTCTATTCACCATAGACATTAAAGAGATAAATAAAACAATTTTTCGAGAAAATATGTTAATGAAACTATTAACATGTAATGAGTGTATTTTAAAATGAATTGTTAGGCTGGGTGTGGTGGCCCACACCTGTAATCCCAGCATTCAGGAAGCTGAGGCAGGAAGATCACTGAGTTCCAGGTCGGCCTGGGCTACATAGGGAGTTCATGATCAGCCTGAAGTACATAGGGAGACCCTGTCTCTAGTTTTCTTGTTTGATTATTTTTTATTTCTACTTTTTTTTGGTACTGGGGATTGAACTTGGGTTCTTGTGCTTGCGCAGCAGGTGGCAAAACCACTGAGCTAAATCCCCAGCCCCATGTTTGATTGTTTTTTAAATAGCAAAACATTATTGGTACATTTTAGACATACATAATGATAACACTCATCATAGAGAATTTGCATCTGTGTATGATACATCCCGCCTCTTTTTTTTTCCCATTCCCCTCCTCCCCTCAAGTCTCCCTTCCCTTCTATGTACAAAAACTTTGTTTCCATTTTTTCCATTTTCACTTTTTTTCCTTGTCCATTCCTTCCTTTTTTTCTCCTTCCTCCCTTGTTCTTCCCATTTGAACATTTTCTTCCCACTTCTCAATATCTATTATACATTTTAGTCCTTATTTCCACTTTTGGTTTCTCACACCATAGAAACAATGTGGTATTTAAATGTGTGTCTGATTTATTTCACTTAAGAGTATGGTCTCAAGGTCCATCCATTTAGCTATAAATGTCCGAAGCTCATCTTTCTTTATGGCTGAGTAGTACTCCATTGTATAAAAAAACCACATGTTGGGGCCAGGGATTTAGCTCAGTGGTTCCACCACCTGCCTTGCAAACACAAGGACCTGAGTTCGATCCCCGGTACCAAAAAAAACCAAACCAAAACAAAAAAAACACATCTTTATCCATTCATTGGTTGATGGGCATTTTGGGCTGCTTCTAAGATTTAGCTATGACAAACTGCATGTTCTGTGAGTTAGTATGTGATCTTCTTTGGTGAACGTTCTGTGTGCAGCCAAGATGAGTGTGTATTCTAATGTGGGGTAGAACACACTGTAGACATCTGTTAAGTCCATTTGTTCAAATATTGTTCAACAATATTTCATTGTTGATTTGTCTATTTGTGACAGTGGGGTATTGAAGTCCCACATTACAACTGTAATAGTGCTTAGTTGATTTTTCGTGTTTGATAATATTCTTTTATATAGTTGGTGCACAGGTATTTGGTACATAAATATTTATGATTCTTATATCTTCTTCTTGGATTGTTCCCTTTACAAGGATGTAGTGACCTTCTTTGTTTCACTTAATTAGTCTTAGCTTGAAATCCACTTTGTCTGCAAGTAGAATAACTACCCTTACTTTTTTCTGAGTTCCTGTTGCATGGAGTATTGTTTTCCATCCTTTAACTTTCAGTCTGTGAATTTCTTTTTGAATTAAATGTTTCTTGTATGCAGCATATTGTTGAATCTTGCTTCTTGATTTATTCTGCCAGTCTGTTTCTGTTGATTGGTGAGTTGAATCCATTAACATTGATGGTTATAACTGATAAGAATTGACTTATTCATGTCATGTTATTTTCCTCTTGGCTCTCTTCTTTCCTCTTCTGTTTAATTTCTTGCCTTGCCTGGTGCCCTGTCTCTATTAAAAATAAAAATAAATAAAATGAACTGTTAGGTATTTAAAAATTTTTTGTTTTGTTTTGTTTTAAATAAAAGGATCAATATTTCTAGCCCACATAAATAAAAGCTTTTTGAGGGGTCCTCAGTGGTTTTTTAAAAGTAAAGGGAGCCAGGTGTGATGTGTATGCTGGTAATCCTAGCATTTGGGAGGCTGAGGCAGCAGCATTGCAAGTTTGAGGCCAGACTGGACAATTTAGCAAGACTGTTCTTGCTGGGCTGGGGATTTACCTCAGTGGTTTCACCGCCTGCTGGGCAAGCGCAAAAGGACCTGAGTTCGATCCCCCGTACCAAAAAAATAAAAAAGACTCTTCTTGCTAAGGAATGAGGATGTGGCTTAGTGGCAGAACACTTGCCTAGCATGTGCAAGCCTCTGGGCTTGATCCCCAGCCCTGGAAAAAAAAGAAAAAGAGTTCTTTACAGAAATACTTTAATTCAGTTGCTTTATGTCTTTTTTTTTTTTTTTCTGGTACTGGGGATTGAACTCAGGATCTTGTGCTTGCCACGCAGATGTGCACCACTGAGCTTATCCCTGGCCCTATATTTCAGTTATTTTGATCAGATAGGATTTTTTTTTCCTGTGTTTTCTTGGAAACATTTATAATGAGTTGACAAATAAGCACATTTCTAGATGGTGAATCATTTCATAATGGTTTTTAAAAATTGTTACTTTGTACTGAAATTCTTATGACTCAACTACTTTATTAGACTCTAAATTCTGTAAGGAAACAAAATTTAACATTAATTTAGTAAAATCTATTGGTAGAGCCCTGAACAAAAGTTTTAGTTTTCATGGAATTCATCCTAATTTTGCGGAGTCAGGCAGCAAAAAAGATTATCAGTTGGTGATAAGTGGTGTGGAGACTCATCAAGTAGGGTAGGAGGGATAGTGTGTTTTGGGTGGGGACAAAGGGACTTTTCCTTTCTGGGGAGGTACTGAGGCTTGAACCTAGGGCCTTTGTACTGATCTACATCTCCAGCACTTTAAGAAATTTTTTTTGTTTGTTAAATTTAGAGACAGGTCTTGCTAAGTTGCTAGGTTTGATTTGAACTTGTGATCCTTCTGCCTCAGCCTCCTAGAGTGCTGAGATTACATGTGCCTTTTTATTTTTCCTTCGGTCCCGGGGATCTGGGTCCTTGCGCTTTCGCAGCAGGCGGCAAAACCCCTGAGCTAAATTCCTGGTCCTGAGATATTTTTTCACATAAAACTTTTCTTACTACTTAGTATTAAAAAAGGCACATGTAGGGCTGGGCATTTAGCTCAGGGGTTTCGCCGCCTGCTGTGCAAGTGCAAGGACCCAAGTTCGATCCCCGGTACCAAAAAATAAAAAATAAAGGCACATGTTGGGGGGCATTTAGCTCAGTGGTTTTGCCACCTGCTGCACAAGCGCGGACCCGAGTTTGATCCCTGGTACCAAAAAAAAAATTACCTCTGCAGTTACATGGACCAGCAGTTGTAAAACTCTGAGTGACATGTGCTTGGTCAAGGAACAGCACGGTAAC